CCTTTCTCCCTCCCCCTCTGGAAGATCTCCCCCCTCACCCGAACCCGGACTCCCCCCACCCTCCCCGAAACTCCACCCACCCACCCCCTCGCGTGGGGCCGAGAACTCCCCCCTCCCTCCCCCATTGGAAACTCCCTCCCTTCCCTGCCCCGCCCCGGTCGGCGGGGCGGGTGTAACCCCACACCTGCGCCAGCAGCTGACACCGACGCCCGGCAGTAACGAGAACGCCAACGACGGCGACGAAGACGACGACGAGGGGCGATCGCGCGACGGCGACGGCGACGACAGGCGGAAGGGACATTAAGTCGGACTGGCAGGACATCAAACGTGATCAGCCGCAACTAGTTGATACTGATATCCAAAAATGGTGACGACGACGACGACAACGAGCGGGAGGATCAGTCGGGCGGGCGGGACATTCAATCTAGCCTGCTAACATGCACTCGTTGATATGACAATGACTCATGGGGAAAAGGATGTCAGAAAGACGACGGCGGGCAGGACGTTCAGTCGAGCGGGCAGACGAGACATTAAATCTACCCCACTCGTTGACAAGACAATGTTTTGGGAACGCACATCAAACAGACGACGACGGGCAGGATTTTCTTTGGGGAGGGCCGGCGGGACATAAGCTTGATCAACACCATCGACAACGACGACGGCGCCGACATCGACTCGTCGTCGTCCTCCTCCTCCTCCTCCCCCTCCTCCTCCTCCTCCTCCTCCTCCTCCTCCTCCTCCACGTCAGCCGGCAGCGCGGAGGGGGCTGGGGTTTATGTAGTTCCCATCGTGCTCAAGAACTGCATCTCGAGCAACATCCGCCGATCTGGCGTGTGAGTTTAAGAAGTCTAAGCTGAAGCTCTGCTTCAGCATGAGCTTTAGCTCTGCTTGGGAAGGGGGGAGGGGGGGGGGACGTCATTAACTGACGAATTCAATGCTCGGCACCTCCCCCCCCCTGGCAGCTCCCAGGAGAGAGGGAGGGGGACAGGAGAGAGGGGGGGAGGGGGGGGGGAGAACAGGAGAGAGGGTGGGGGGGAACAGGAGAGAGTGGGGGGGGAGGGGGGGGAAAGGAGAGAGGGGGGGGGGGTGGAAAGGAGAGAGGGAAGGGGGGGGGGGGGGGACAGGAGAGAGGGGGGGGAGAGAGGGGAGGGGGGGTGGAAAGGAAAGAGGGGGGAGGGGAGAGGGAGGGGGGGTGGACAGGAGAGAGGGGGGAGGGGGACAGGAGAGAGAGGGGGGGGGAAAGGAGAGAGGGGGGGGGACAGGAGAGAGGGTGGAGGGGACAGGAGAGGGGGGACGGTTGGGGGCGGGAGCCGGGATCATCACCATCTCCACCACCATCACCATAACAATCGTCATCATCATCATCATCATCATCATCATCATCATCATCATCATCATCATCATCATCATCATCATCATCATCATCATCATCATCATCATCATCATCATCATCATCATCATCATCATCATCATCATCATCATCATCATCATCATCATCATCATCATCATCATCATCATCATCATCATCATCATCATCAGCATCATCATCATCATCAGCATCACCACCATCATCATCATCAGCATCATCATCATCATCAGCATCATCATCAGCATCAGCATCAGCATCATCAGCATCAGCATCAGCATCAGCATCAGCATCAGCATCAGCATCAGCATCAGCATCATCATCATCATCAGCATCATCATCATCATCATCATCATCATCATCATCATCATCATCATCATCCGGAGCGCCCCGGATCGGCGGCACTGGCCGCAGGCCACTACAAAATCAAAGCAGCGTCCGCCCGACACGCTTGCGAAGGGCCGAACGAGTATCGCCTCCCAGGGCCCGAAACGTGAAAGACCTTCAATCTGGGTACTTTCTCTTGGTGCGCAAACTTCTTTCTGGTGATCAAAGCTCAGGTAGGTTGGAACATCACAGGGTGGGGTTCAAAACCGCTGCATCTCACGTTCGAGGGGAAAGGGGGGGAGGGGGGCGGGAGGGGGTCCACGGTCCACCGGGAACTTTTTTGGGGGTGTGGAATGGGTTGGACCCCCCAAACCCCTTGCAATCGCTCGGACGTCCATTCCTCGTGCATTTGTCGATTTCGTGGTGCTTCTTTGGCCAAATGATCCTGGATGCTCCTCGATGGTCCTCGCCGAAAAAAAAATGCACACTTCCGAGCGATGCCAAGACCCCTCAACCGTCCACAGAAAGCACTCCGTCGAACCAGTGGACAAATGCCCAAGGACCAGCTTTCGTGCAAGATCGCTCATTGGACGGCCGGAGCCCGAAGACAACCTCAGGATCCTCGAAAAACAGCGACAGACCTCCGCCTGGATATTCTGCATACGCTCCAGGTCTGGGGTGTGGCAGGTCCGTGTCGTGACGAACTGCGCGTTGGTTTCTGGCCACCGCGTGGATCGCTCAGCTTTGAGCGATCGTGACATTCTTAAGTCGGGCGTGTCCCTCTACATAGTGAATTTTCAGAAGTAGTCAAAACATGATCCAGGGACGATGTTTTGAGCATTTGGGGGGCAGCATGTTTGGGGCACTTCTGATTGTTCGTCCAAAATCCGCCTGTAGGGGGACACGCCCGACCTGGTGACATTCCGATAGCGCAGATGGTTCGATGTCGGCCGAGCGGCCACCGGCGGCGTTCCAGCTCGGACGCCCGCGCCGGGGGCCGCTGCCGCATCGGCACGGCACGAACCTAATTGCAGCCGGCCGACGGACGCGCTTTGCCGGGCGCGCACGAAAGAGGAGGATAGCATCGGGTCGGCCATGTCCCCCTACAGGGAGACTCTGGACGGAAGGAAAATACTCCAAAAATATTCAAATCCTCCGATCCGGCGTGTGAGTTGAAGGGGGGGGTGGGCTGGGGTGGCTCTGCCGGGGTAGGGGGGGGGGTCTTCCACAGATTTGGTTCGGTTGGTCGGGGTTCGGTTGGCCACAACGGACCCAAACGTTGCCAAGAAGCCGCCAAGACGGGCCAAGACGTTTCTGGATCGCCCAAAAATCGATCCAAGACGCCGAACATGAACCCAAGACAGCCCAAGAGGCCGCCAAGACGCCCCCAAAGGCCCTCAAGAGGTCTCCCAAAAGGGCCCCGACCGGCCACAATCATCGATTTCCCTTAGGAAACCCTACATTTTTAGCATGTTCGCCTCTTGGGCCTTCACAGTGCCCAAAACGGCTCAAGGGGCCCTCAAAAAGGCTCCAAGACGGCCTCAGAAGGGCTTACGCAGGCCCAGGAGGCCTCCAAGACGGCGCAAGAAGGCTCCAGGACGGGCCCAAGAGGCGCCCAAAAGGGCTCCAAGACGGCCCAAGAAGGGCCAAAGACGGCCCAGGAGGCCCCCAGGAGGCCCCAAGACGCCCCCAAGGGGCCCCACAAGGTCCTCCAAGAGCGCCTCCACAAGATGTCGTACTACAGCTACTTCAACATCTCCGGATTTTGAATGTGTCTCAGGCAAGAGCGTCATTTTCCAAGATCCGAAAGTTCCGCAAGCCATTTCAACATCTCTATCCTATGAGGATGTCTCGAGCGAGAGCTGTCTTCTAACAGGACAAGTCTTCCGTCCCCAACAGCATAGAGGCGCCCACGAGGCTCCAAAAGCCTCCCAGAAGCTCCCAAGAGGCTCCACAAGGCTTCCAAGAGGCCAACAAGAGAACACAAGGTCATCGTCGTCATCGTCATCATCATCACCACCATCATCATCATCATCGTCATCATCATCATCATCATCATCATCATCATCATCATCATCATCATCATCAACATCATCATCATCATCATCATCATCATCATCATCATCAGCATCATCATCGTCATCATCATCATCAAGAGCGCCCCGGATCGGCGGCACTGGCCGGAGGCCATTTCAATATTCAGACAAAACTATTCAGAAATACTCAAAAATTGTCCCCAGACTATTTCTTGGGACAGGCCCGACTCAAGGACAGCAAAGGGGGGGCAATCACATCAGCTCACGCAGCTGGTCTCTCGGGCGCCTCCTTGCGCCAGGGGCGCCCACGTATCGAGGAAAGCGCTCGGCGCTTGACCCGAGACCAGCGGCATGCAGCAGATGTCATAGACCCACTTTCCCAATGCTCCACTTTCGCCCGACCCGATCATCCTACTGCATCGAAAAGCTACCTGCCAGAGAACTACCTCGGCTAACCTTCCAGCCAACCCTGGCCAATCCCCTGGCCGACCCTGTCCAGACCTCCCGGCCGACCCTGGTTAGGGCAACTTTGCCCACAAGGCACGATGCTATGAGAAGGAACAACTACGTTCGAAGGTCCGCGCGGATTTCTAGGATCGGCGCTGCGGTGCCGGAGGCGCCGCCAGGGAGGTCCAGTCCAGCGCAGATCCAAGAAATCCGAGCTGACCTTCGTCGAAAGCTTATGTCTATGCCGTTTTCTCCCCTTTGTCGAGATACATTACCAGACCCATCGGAGTGGCGTGTGCTTCAGGCTTCTCAAAGGCCCTGAAAGAGCCCCCAAGAGACCCCAGAAAGGCCCCCGAGAGGCCTCCCGCGACATCCCAGCGAACATCCTGGAGGCCGATGACCCACAACCCAGGCACGGTGGCGGGATGAGCCGAAGGGCATTAGATTTCGGTCGGGCCTGTCCTCCTACAGGCGGATTTTGGAGGCGAAATGTAACACATCCAAAAAATATTCAAAAGGCCGACTAGCACGGAAACGGGTGCCCAGACTAATTTTTGCTCCTACTCTTCAACATGCCTCATGCAGAGGGACATGCCCGACCTAACATTGAATACATTACCGGGACCCTCCATGTTCAAATCTGCGGAAAAGTTATAGACGAATGCGCACGGCGCCCAGGCAAAAACTCCATTCCGAACTAGAGCGGCACTCTATCCTCGAAGCTTCAGCAACGTGTTAAGACGATCGTGCGCGGCGCGAAGGCGAGAACCACAATTTGGCGCGAAGTCCTCGGAAGGGCATGTGCTTCGGGACCCTCCGGTCGCCGCGGGCGCTGGCGCCGGGGAGCCGCCGTCGCCGTAGCCGCTGGCGGCCGTGACCCCGGCGGGCGGCCGGTTGCCCGTGCTGCTCTTCGGGGCCGCCTCTCGCAGGCGGTGGTGCGCGTCGTCGGCTCGTCAGTGCAGGGGTCGTCGTCGTGGTCGTCGCCGTGGTCTTCCTCGTCGTCGTGGTCGTCGCCGTGGTCGTGGTCGTGGTCTTGGTCGTGGTCGTCGTCGTCGTCGTGGTCGTGGTCGTGGTCGTGGTCGTCGTCGTCATCGTCGTGGTCGTGGTCGTGGTCGTGGTCACGATCGTGGTCGTGGTCGTGGTCCTGGTCGTGGTCCTGGTCGTGGTCCTGGTCATGGTCCTCGTCGTCGTCGTCGTGGTCGTGGTCGTCGTGATGGCCGTGGTCGTCGTGGTCCTGGTCGTAGTCGTAGTCGTGGCCGTCGTCGTCGTGGTCGTCGTCGTGGTCGTGATCGTCGTCGTGGTCGTGGTCGTGGTCGTGGTCGTCGTCGTGATCGTCGTGGTCGTCGTTGTCGTCCACGTCGTCGCCGTGGTCGTGGTCGTGGTCGCGGTCGTGGTCGTGGTCGTGGTCGTGGTCGTCGCCGTGGTCGTGGTCCTGGTCGGGTCGTGGTCGTCATCGTCGTCCACGTGGTCGTGGTCGTGGTCGTGGTCGTGGTCGTGGTCGTGGTCGTCGTGGTCGTCGTGGTCGTCGTGGTCGTGGTTGTGGTCGTCGTCGTGATCGTCGTCGTGGTCGTGGTCGTGGTCGTGGTCGTTGTCGTGATCGTCGTCGTCGTTGTCGTCCACGTCGTCGTCGTGGTCATGGTCGTGGTAGTGGTCGTGGTCGTCGCCGTGGTCGTGGTCCTGGTCGTGGTCGTCATCGTCGTCCACGTGGTCGTGGTCGTGGTCGTGGTCGTCGTGGTCGTCGTGGTCGTGGTCGTGGTCGTGGTCGTCGTGGTCGTGGTGTTGGTCGTGGTCATGGTCGTCGTCATCGTGGTCCTGGTCCTAGTCCTGGTCGTGGTCATCGTCGTCGTCGTCGTCGTGATCATGGTCGTGGTTGTCGTCGTCGTCAATGTCATGGGCATCGTCGTTGTGGCCGTGGTCGGGGTCGTGGTCGTGGTGGTCGTTGTCGTGGTCGTAGTCGTGGTCGTGGCCGTTGTCGTCGTCGTCGTGGTCGTGGTCTTGGTCCTGGTCGATGTCGTGGTCGTCGTGGCCGAGGTCGTGAATGTGGTCGTGGTCGTTCTTGTCGTCATCGTGGTCGTCGTCGTCGTGGTTGTGGTCGTGGTCGTTGTGGTGGTCGTGGTCGTCGCCGTCGTGGTCAGCCTCGTCGTGGTGGTCGTGGTCGTGGTCCTGGTTCTGGTCGTGCTCGTGGTCGTGGTCCTGGTCATGGTCCTCGTCGTCGTCGTCGTGGCGTGGTCGTGGTCGTCGTCGTAGTAGTGGTCGTGGTCGTCGTCGTGGTCCTGGTCGTGGTCATCGTCGTCGTCGGCGGCGTCCTCGTCGTCGTCGTAGTCAAATTCGTGGTCGTGGGTGTGGCCGTGGATGCAGTGTGTATCGTCAGCGTCGTCGTCGTCGTGGTCGTCCACGTCGTCCTCGTCAACGTCGTGGTCGTCATCGGCGTGGTCGTGGTCGTGGTCGTGGTTGTCGTGGCCGTGATCGTTGTCGTGGTCCTGGTCCTGTTTCTGGTCGTGGTCGTGGTCGTCGCCATCCTCAGCATCGTCGTCGTCTTCCTCGTCGACGACGTCGTCCTGGTCGCCGTGGTCGTCGTGGTGGTCGTGGTCGTGGCCATCGTCGTCGTCATGGTAGTCGTTGTCGTGGTCGTGGTCGTCGTCGTGGTCGTCGACGTGGTCGTCGTCGTCGCTGTGGTCGCCGTCGTGGTCGTCCTCGTCGTCGTCGTCGCCATGGTCGTGGTCGTGGTCGTGGTCGTCGTCGTGGTCGTCGTCGTGGTCGTCGTCGTGGTCCTGGTTGTGGTCGTATTCGTCGTCGCAAGCGTGGTTTTTGTCGTGTTCGTCGTCGTCGTCGTGGTCGTCGTCGTGGTCACGGTCGTGGTCGTGGTCGTTACGGTCGTGGCCGTTGTGGTCGTGGTCGTGCTCATGTTCCTTGTCTGGTCGTAGTCGTGGTGGTTGTCGTGGATGTGGCCGTCGTCATCGTCGTCCCAGTCGTCGTCGTCGTCGCCGTGCTCGTCGTCGTCGCCTTGGTCGCCGTCGCTGTCATCTACGTCAGGGTGGTCGTGGTTGTGGTCGTGGTCGTCGCTGTCGTGGTCGTCGTAGTCGTGACCGTCGTGGTCGTCGTCGTGGTCGTCGTCGCCGTCGTCGTGGACGGGGTCGTCCTCGGCATCGGTGTCGTCGTAGTCGCGGTCATCGACGTCGTGGTCGTGTTCGTGGTCGTGGTGACCGTCGTCGTCGTGAACATGGTCCTGGTCGTTGTGGATGTCGTCGTGATCGTCCTCATCGTGGTCGTGGTCGTGGTCGTCGTCGTCGCGGTCGTGGTCGTGGTCGTAATCGTGGTCGCCGTCGCCGTCGTCGTCATCGTGATGGTCGTGGTCGTCGTCGACGTGGAAGACGAGGTCGCCGTCGTCGGATTCATCGTGGTCGTGGTCGTTGTCGTGGTCGTGGTCGCGGTCGTGGGTTCGTAGTCATTGTCGTCGTCGTCCTCGACGTCGCCATGGTCGTGGTCGTGGTCGTCGTCATAGTCGTCGTCGGCGTCGCCGTCGTGGTCGCGGTCGTCATCGTCGACGCGGTCGTCGTCGTCGTCGCGGTCGCGGTCGTTGTGGTCGTGGCCGTGGTCGTTGTCGTGGTCGTGGTCGTGGTCGTGGTCGTCGTCATCGTCATCGTCATTGTCACCATCTTCGTCGTCCTCGTCGTCGTCGTCGCCGTGGTCGTCGTCATGGTCGCGGTCGTCATGGGAGTCGTCATGGTAGTCGTAGTCGTGGTGGTGGTCGTGGTTGCGCTCCTGGTCGTGGTCGTCGTCGCATCGTAGTGGTTTTGGTCGTGGTCGCCGTGGTCGTGGTCGTGGTCGTTGTCAACGTCGTCGTGTTCGTGGTCGCCGTGGTCGTGGTCGTGGTCGTGGTGGTCGTGGTCGTGGTCGTGGTCGTGGTCGTCGTCGCCGTCGTCGTGGCCATCGTCGTCGTCGTAGTCGTGGTCGCCGTCGCGGTCGCCACCGTGGTGGCCATCGTCGTGGGCATCGTCGTCGTCGTATTCATGGTTGTCATCGTGGTCGTGGTCGTGGTCGCTTTCATGGTCATCGTCGTCCGCGTGGTCATGGTCGTGGTCGTGGTCGTGGTCTTCGCGATCGTTGTCATGGTCGTGCTCGTTCTCGTCATTGTCACGGTCGTGATCGTGGTCGTTTTCGTCGTCGTGGTCGTGGTCGAAGTCCGTGTCGTGGTCGCCGTCGTCGGATTCATCGTGGTCGTGGTCGTTGTCGTGGTCGTTGTCATCGTCGACAAGGTGGTTGTGGCCGTCGTGGTCGTGGTCGTGGTCGTTGCCGTGTTCGTCGTCGTGGCAGTGGTCGTCGTCGTCGTGGTCGTGGTCGTTGTCGCGGTCTTTGTCCTGGTCGTGGTCGTGGTCGTGGTCGTGATCGTCGTCATCGTCGTCGTCATCGTCGTTGTCCTCTTGTCATTTCGTCGTCATCGTCGTGGTCGTGGTCGTGGTTGCGGTCGTCTGCTTCGGGTCAGTGGTCGCCGTGGTCGTCGTCGTCGTGGTCGTGGTCGTCGCAGTCGTGGTCGTGGCCGTGGTCGTGGTAAAGGTCGTCGTCGTCGTCGTTGTCGTGGTCGTGGTCGTGGTCGTCGCTAGTCGTCGTGGTCGATGTCGTCGACGAGGTCGTCGTGGTCGTGGTCGTGAACGTGGCCGTCCTCGTCGTGGTCGTGGTCGTCGTCGTCGTCGTCGCGGTCGTGATCGTGGTCGTCGCCAGTCGTCGTCGTGGCCGGCGTGGTCGTGGTCGTGGTCGTGGTCGTGGTCGCGGTCGTTGTCGTCTTCGTGGTCATTGTCGTCGAAGTGGTCTTGGTCGTGGTCGTGGTCGTCGTGGTCGTGGTACTGGTTGCAGTCGTTGTCGTGGTGGGCATGGTCGTCGTCGTCGTGGTCGTGGTCGTGGTCGTGGTCGTGGTGGTGGTCGTCGTCGCCATGGTCGTGGTCGTGGTGGTCGTTGTCGTCGTCGTCAAGGTGGCCGTGGTCGTGGACATCGTCGTGGTCGTGGTCGTCGTCATGGTCGTCGTCGTAGTCGTAGTCGTGGTCGTGGTGCTCGTCGTGGTCGCGGTCGTCGTGGGCGTCGGCGAGAACATCGTCATCGACATGGTGGTCGTGGTCGTCGTCCTGGTGGCGGTCGTGGTCGTGGTTGCCTAATCGTCATCATGGTCGTCGTCGTTGTCGTCGTGGTCGTCGTCGTCGTGGCCGTCGTGGTCGTGGTCGTGGTCGTGGTCGTGGTCGTGGTCGTCACCGTCGAGGTCGTCGTCGTCGTCGTGGTGGTCGTGGTCGTGGTCCTGGTCGTGGTCGTCGTCGCGGTCGTGGTCGTGGTCCTGGTCGTGGTCGTCTTCGTGGTCAGCTTCGTGATCGTCGTCGTCGACGTGCCAACGTCGTCGTCGTGGTCATCGTCGTCGTCATGGTCGGCGTCGTCGTCGTGGTCATCGTCGTCCTCGTCGCTGTGGTCGTCATCGTTGTCGATATGGTCGTCGTCGTCGCCGTCGTGGTCGTGGTCGTGGTCGTGGTCGTCCTCGTGAACGTCGTGGTCGTCGTCGTGGTCGTGGCCGTCGTCGTCGTGCTCGTCGTCGTGGTCATCGTCGTCATGGTCGTTGTGGTCGTGGTCGTCGTCGTGGTCGTGGTCGTCGTCGTGGTCGTGGTCGTCGTTATGGTCGTCGTCGTCGCGGTCGTCATTGTCGTCGTCGTCGTGGTCATCGTCGTCGGGGTCGTGGTCGAAGTCTTGGTCCTTGGCCTGGTCGCGGTCGTCCTCTTGAGGGCCCGTCTCGGGTCCTGGGACGGTCAAAACAGCGGTGCGCGATGAAAACTGGCGACGATGGAGGGCGTAAAAGAGGAGGTGGCAGAGGAGGCAATCGAGATCGAGGATGGAGCTGCGAAAAATGTCTGGTCCTCTTTGCCCTCCAACAGCACCCGGAGGCCTC